CCCCCCCCCCCCCCAAGTATTTTCACTTACAAATTTTATACAATTTCTTATTATCCTTTTTAGTAACAACTTTTTTTCTCATTTTATATCACAATTAGGGACTCCCTAAAACGCAGGCGGCTTTTGGGGTAGGGTAGGGTCACTACACAATTCCACACAGTGATGAACGTGGAGCCATACCGCCGCATCGACGCCATCTCCTCCAAATACCGTGCCCTGAATACCAAAGTCAACAAGTTCGTCGATACATACAACTCCACTGCCCTCACTCAAAAAAGCTTGCCGAGGGGCGATGACATTTTAAGATTGGCGATGTCAAAGTACCGAGCGAAATATAATAATCCTTTCTCACAATTGAAAGCGTGGAAGACATTGACTTGGCACTTGAAATGGGCTCCAGTGCCGAACGAGCTATCCCAAACCAAACGGACCAAGACGTCGGAGTCTAGGGAATTTAGTAGCCCTAGAGCGTCTGACGCTCGTTGGACCTTTGCGTTGATGAGTGCCGACGATGACGATATTCCGACCCCTCCAGAGCCGACACAACCTGTCAGGAGGGTTAATGCGAAAAACACATCATCATCGATTGTGCCCGAACCCGATGGGTCAACTATCGACAATCTCTTGTCCACCATAGTCACTTTCAACAAAGTGTAGTCGGACAAGATTCAGTTGCGAAGTAAAGCCGCTGACAAGGCACTACAACTAGAGCGCGAACGCAACGAGCAAAAAGACTACGCGATATTCATGCTGAGCGTTGATCATTTGCAACGCAACTGTTCTGAAAGTGACTTGGAAGTACAGCCGACAACTTGGGCAATGATCTTTGATTTGTTTTAATTAAGTAATTTTTTTAGTCGAGTCCCAGTAATTTTTTGTCATCAATCAGTTTTATTTCTATTTTGTTTTGTATTAGGTCAATATACTTTCTAATTTTAATGTTAAAGAAATATTTATTTAATGTTTTTATTTTAAGTAATTTTGATTTAATAAATTAAAAAATGAAAAAAAAAAAACGGGACGCCGTGATCCACCGCTAATAGCCTAACACCCACCACGAAATGATGAAAAAGCATTTGATTCTTTGAATGAAGGAAATTAGTCAGCATGAATACAGTACATAGCCTAGTCCCCTCTACCTTCTTTGAGAAACAACATTTCTCCTATGGATGTAAGAAGTGCTGGCATATCTACACCACTTTAATTACTTCCACAAGGAAAAAGATGAGGAGAAAAAAAAAAGAAAGAAAAAGAAACTTGTGAACTTTGCTTCTACTCTGTCTGGCCTAAAGCCCTAAAGAGCTTTTGGAAAGACTTCTTGGCCCCCCTCTTCCCCACTTGTTAGGTTGCTTTGCAATTTGAGTCTCTCAACTAACATGTCCAATGCCTCCTTCATCCAAATCTGCTGGCAAACTTTTCTGGCATCCGCCGCGCACATCTGCAGAGATTGTCGTTTAATTTACACTTGTTAGTTTAATAACTGAGGATTGTGTCAAGGAATCAATTCAACCAAAAGTTCAAGTTTGTACTTGTGGTCCAGGAAATGTTTCTTATATTCCAACAGAATTTGGGAGGACGAGAGAATTGAACTTACCCAAACTCTCCTTCGGAGATTTTTCTCAGGCCAGAGATCAAGTTGTTCTGTCACAAGCAATGGAAACATGTACCCTTCGCGGTAGCTCGGGCGACTCTTGCTCATGAATCTCCATTTCCCCAACTCGCGCTGCAAACAAAACCAAATACGAAATCAAATCTCTGTTCTATTCGATCCCGAAAGCGAAACCTATGGAATCAAAAAGTGAGAATTTGTGGCGCATCGCGAACCTCAACAACCCCGACAACACCGGCTTCTTCAACCGATTCACGAGAAGCAGCTTCTTCGATGGACTCGTCGAGCTCCCAACCTCCCTTGGGAAACATCATCGCCTGGCCTTTCTGCGAGCTAATCATCAGCACCTCCAACCCGCCATTCCGGCTCAACCTGTAAGGTATGCATCTGCATTTCGCAGCAGCAGAATAAGAAATCGGACCTGATGTTTTGTCGAATCTCATGGAACATAGAGTAGAATTAGACTTACCCGACGACGAGTCGGTGGCCTTTGTGGTACCTCTGCAGAGTCCTTCCCGTGCGAGACACCAGAATAGCCATTTCTTCTTCTCTTTAGTTCTAGCGAAGTAAGGGTTTGTGGATTCTAATGTTGGAGGGATTGAGATGGAAATGAATGGAGGAGGAGAAGTGGATGGGCAAAGGACTTTATATAGGTTTGAGTCATAGGGACGCGTAGGTGCGCGTTTTTTTTAAGTATCGCGTGGTTCTCAATCTCCTCTCATTTACTAAATAAAGAGTACTCCGTACACAGTTCGTCTCGTACACGGAATTAGATTTTAATTCAAAATTAAAATTTTATGGAACTCAATAGGATGAAATTTAATTTTCCGGTTCCAGTTCATTTTTAATATTGTTAATTCTAAATTTGGGCAAATATTAAAGTAGGACTAAAACATTGAAAATATATCAAAATAAAACTTTTATATTTTTATTTCCGAAATAAGACTTTTATATTTTTACTTTTTTATTTACCAAAAAGTATAGTAATGTGCACATGTACAACGCCACATTACAAATGAAGTCTTATTTCAGGCAAAAAAATATGGAAGTCCTATTTTGGTATTTTGCTCTATGTTTTAGTCCTATTTAGGGTGATTTTAATTTTAAATTCATATATTTTTGTATTACCAAAAACTAGAATTGGAATTATTATTTGAGGATTTTTACTTAAATAGCACTAAAACATAATGACTTTCCCTAAATAGCACCACATGTGTTTTTTCCCCAATGTAGCAATTTTAGTCATCATGCATTAGTCATTATTCAAGTAATATTCGCCATCACTGGATATTATGGACATTATTAAGTGCTAATTAGGAAATAAAATAATTTAAGTATAATTTAGAGAAATGACTTAAGTTTTAGTGCTATTTAGTGCAAATATTTCTTATTATTTTCAATTCTAATTTCATAGTTTCAATTTCGTATAGCAAATGGAACTTGAGAGTCTCTATTTCTTCCCATTTACGGAGTACATTGTTTTTCTTTGAGGGGACTACATTGCTTAATGTTCTCCCATAGTCCCATAATTCGTACTCACTTCTTTTCAGTTCTAAAATTTAGGGCTGGGTTGGAAAAAATACACTACAAGAAAACGCAAAAAAAACGATGGATTATAGCGACGGAATTCAATTCGACGCTAACAACGACGGATTCAGCGACAGAATTTTACGCCCACCAAAATTAACGACGGAATTAGCATTACGTTGCTCCGTATTGGCGGGAGGTAGTGCGCGGCATATTAGGCGACGGAAATAACGACAGAATTTTTCCAACGTTAGTTTGGTGACAGAAAAATTCCGTCGCTAAAGGAATATAATTGAAACGTTGCGTTTTGATCTGGCGACGGAAAAATTCCGTCGCTAAAATCTGTCACCAGAAAAAAGATCTAAAAATCTCCTATCAGTTTCTCCGATTTCGCAGACAGAAACCACAATGAGTTGTTGTCCAGTTTCGTCTCCTCCGTGACGCCTTCCGCCACCATCATCCGCCTGTCGCCATCCGGTCATCTTCTCCGTCTGCCACTATCAACCGCCAGTCGTCTACCCATCTTCTGTCGCCGTCCACTTTAAATCTCAGGTTTTGTTTTTCATTTCTTCATCTTTTATTCAATTTGAATTTCTGAATTAATTTGTTTTTAATTATAATGGTATTGTTTACATTAGGGTTTTTTAAGTTAACATGTTTTGTTTATAATTACAAATTTAGTTTTAATTTTATAATTATTTTAGATTACGGTCTTTTTTCAAAAATTAGTCATTTTTTTAAAAAAATAATTATATTCTTAAAAGTTTTAGTGAATGAATATCGTGCTTATTAATCATTTAGATATTGTATCTTTTATATGAGGAATGAATTTATGCTAATTAATTATTTAATAGCATATTTTGGATATTATTAATGTTATATGAAGATTGTATATGTATTACGTACTCCCTCCGTCCCAAAAAGTCTTTCCTGTTTAATTTTTTGCGCATCCCATAAAACACTTTTATCCCGCCTTGAATGCCAAAAAAACTTTCAATATAAGTTCTACCCACAATTAAGAATAAATGTTGTAAATTTTAGACATTTTAGATGTCGGTAGAAGTGTTTTATAGGATGCACAAAAAATGAAACAGGAAAGACTTTTGGGACGGAGAGAGTATGTTATTCAATATTGTGGTTGTTCCATTTATATTTTTTAATGTTTTTTGAATTCTATAATTTAATAGTATGTTAATTTTATTTTTATGAATTTCTTAGAATAAGTGACTTTCACAAAAATCAGAATTCGATGTATAACAGAGAAGGTGCAGCCACTTGTCCCGCAAACGTGGAAGGTGGTATTTCAAAACTTTTATTGAATTGATTGAGTTACTCCAAACTTAGATTTAAGTCTGGAATGTGAAAATTTCACTTGTAAAAATTTCTATTCAAAATTTCTATTGAATTTTGATTTGTATATTTGTATTAAATGTTGTTAAAAAGTATTAGAAGACGCCAAAGTTCTTGGTATCCTCCCAGCAAAACAGAAAAATCGTCGTGGTGGTGACGAGAATGCCCCTGCTAGCGCCAAACACACCGGTGGACTGTTGTATTTTCGCGAGTCTCAAGCACGCCTTGTAAGTATTATTAGTAACATTATTTCATTTAAATGTTTTAACTTACATGTTTACACTTATTTAGAAACATGATTGGAAGACCTACGTCAATAAGAAGGCAGACCAGTAAGTTACAATGAATTTATATATTGTATAAATAAATGATTAGTTTTCGTTGAATTCAATTGGATGTGAATTCATACTAGTCTACTTATTTTGCCTTTTATGTTAATCTATATACATGTATGTTTGGTATATTGCAGCAAAAGTATGTAGCCACGTAGGAGGCATATCGAGAACAAGGCTTAAATGTGACACCTAACGAGATTTTTATATCTACAGTCGGAGGACATGATGCCAAAAACTGTGTTCATGGTGTTGGAGATCTCGCACGGAGCCTACCACGAATGCATGCAACTGAGGTAAGATGTGCTAGCACCATCTCTATGTGGGACCCTCGAGATTATGAGATACGGAGGTTGAGAGAAGAGCTAGACGACATTAGAGCTTCCTAAGTGCGTGAACTATTGTTGATTAGAGAAGAGATGACCCGACTCTATGGAAGAGTTTTCCCACGTGGAAATGGAGTTGGCGGTGGAGATGAAGGAGGGTCGGGGTTTGCACGCACTTGTTGAATATTTTATTATAATTGAATAACATTATGTTAAACTTAAGTTTTATGGTTATGTAAGTGGTGTTTGATTTAATTGTTAAGTTGAATTTTTATAAATATTTTTTGAATTTTAATTGAAGTTTGGTGATTTGAATATTCTTGGTTGTTTGGTATTCTTCATTTCTAGTATTTGTTATTGTTTGATGCTGTGGATTTCTGGGCTAGAGCAGGTTGCTATGGATGTTGTGTGAAATTGAAAAAATTACAGCTTTCTGTATTCATGCTGTCAAATTGGCAACAGATTTGGAGACGGGATATCATTTCCATCGCTCTATGGTCAAAATGCAGAAATGGTAGCCTAGCGACGGATTCACTAATCCGTCGTTAAACTTATTACTAACGAAAAAACAACCACGGAATACAAACCGTCATTATTTCCGTCGTTAGGTCGATTACCTACGGAAATCAAGCTTTGGCGATGGAAAAATTCCGTCGCGATTTCAGCAGTTTTTTGTAGTGATAAAAAATCACAAATTTATTAAAATGAACAAGAAAAAAAATTGAACCTAAATAATCAAAATTGAGTGTAAAAAAAACTAAGTTATTATTTAGTTTCTGTTTTAGTTTTTCACTCTAGAAAATAGAACTAAATTGAACAAATCGGGCATTTCTATGTACTTCGTTTGATGTATATGAGTATATTTGATATATGAAAAAATCATTGAAATATAAATGAAAATAACACATCAGTCGATTGAAGTTATTCTGCCTTAACTACTAAACATTTTATACCGTATTATAAACTTAAAAAACTAAGAGTATAAATATCAATAATCAATCCTAATACGAAATTATATTAACATGAAAAGATTTGATGTTATAATAGAAATGAAAGTATTATATAAAAAATGTAAATTTTCCGTAATCAATATTTACATATGAAGACACACGCAGCTACAATGCCCCGTTGAATTGGTAAAAAGTGATAATTCCTAATTTCCTTCCCCTGCCCTCTGCCTTCCCTCCTTATATCGCCAATCTTGCCCTCTCAAATTGGTAATTTAGAGGGGATTGGAGGGTTAGGGTGATGAAAACCATCAATTTACAAACGAAGTAACATAGCTGTCCGTGTCAAAATATAACCCTCAATTTGAGGGTCAAAAGAACCGTGGGGCATATATTTAAATTACTAAAACGTTTAAACTATATTTTATTCATAAAAATATCTATTCTTTTTTTCATTCCAATTAAATACAACATTGTTTATCATTTTTTCTTTTAATTTGACTTTTCAAGATCTCTAATGTAACACTCTGGTCATTAGTATATTTGTTTATATATAAATACGGGAGCGTCTAAAATGACACCAGTTACTTATACATCAGTTGCTTACACCAGTTCATTTGGGGTACCCAGGGTGCTCCGTTTGTAAAAATGACTGTTCCTACCCTCCCTAACCCCCCCTAAACCCCCCCACCCCAGCCCCACCCTTGCCCCCACCCCAGCCCCCCCTCCCGCCCCATCCCTACCCTGGCAGTATGGTATACTGCCAGGGTAGGGAGGGGGCGGGAGGGGGGCTGGGGTGGGGGAAAGGGTGGGGCTGGGGTGGGGGGTTTAGGGGGATGGTTTGGGGGGTAGGAACCGTCATTTTTACAAACAGAGCACCGTAGGTACCCCAAACGAACTGGTGTAAGCAAATGACACCAGTAGCACTGGTGTCATTTTAGACTTACCGTATAAATATATACTCCCTCCGTCCCGCTATATTCGTCCACTTTTGGCTTTTGGAACTGTTCATCTAAGCACTTTGACTCATCAAATTCTCTCAATGTGTAAGCCTAAATATAGTCATGTGTGATCTTGTTTGATTTGTCTTAACATATAGATTATTAATATATAATTTCTATAATTTTTTAATATACAAA